GGCACGAACCCGTGTCCCCTGCATCAGCAGGCAGACTCTCAACCACTGCGCCACCAGGGAAGCCCCATGCAGTATTTTTGAAAATCAAAAGTAATGCCTCGGGCTTCCCTGGTGGCGCAGTGGTTGAGAGTCCGCCTTCCACTGCAGGGGACACAGGTTCGTGCCCCGGTCCGGGGAGATCCCACGTGGTGCGGAGCGGCTGGGCCCGTGAGCCATGGCCGCTGAGCCTGCGCGTCCGGAGCCTGTGCTCCGCAACGGGAGAGGCCACAACAGTGAGAGGCCCGCGTACCGCCAAAAAAAAAAAAAGAAAAAAAAGTAATGCCTCAAATCCAAGATGAACAAAATATCAAAGTTTTAAATACAGACAGCATGGGTATTCTGATTTTTCTTTTTGCATCAGGCTCCAGTACAGCTTGGCATGGCATGGTTACAGATCTTTGTTTGAAATTTTAACATTTTTGTTTATCTTGGATTTTTGGCATTAATTTTTATTTTTTGCAATTGCATCACAATACTGTTTTCTTGATCACTGAGTGTTTTTGGCATCGCCTTAAATTTGGTACGCAAGGTGAGTGCCTCCTTGCTTAACCCTGGTCCCAGCCCTAGTGGGGCCGCCCACAGGGTGGGGCAGGGCTGGCAGGGAAGTCCGCAGGCAAGTGCGGACGATGGGGGTGACAATCACATCAGTAATGAAATAACAGCTAATATGCACTGAGGTCTCTGGGCCAAGCACTGTTCTCAAGCCCCCCCATCCTTCCTTCTGGATCACCTCCTATGTGCTGAGCGCTCAGGATAGAGCAGACCAATACACTTCCCTGCCACTCAGAACCCACATCCAGGGTTGGGCAGAGAGATGATAAAATAATAAAATGAGTAAGAATCGGCAAAATGTGAGGCGCGCAGTGCTACAGGCTAAAGAGAAAAAATAACGAAGAAAAGAAGACATGAACCATGTTTTAGGCACGGTCACCAAGAATGACATCCCCGAAACGCCACGACCACCCAGGAGGGACAGTTATTACTCAGCCCCATTCTCAGATGAGGAAACTGAAGCAGCCTGCCCAGGAAGTGACAGCTGGGTTCCCAGCCTGCTCCGGCTGGTGCCAGAGGGCTTTTTGTTGTGGGGAGCAGCGGGAAGACATCACGTAGAACCAGATGGAATGAGGGCACCGGGACTTCTTTCTCCACTTAAAGGGGCCGCCTCGACTCTACGTTGGGCAGGACTGTCTCCGCCTCCCTAACAGGAAAGGCCAGGTTGGCTCAGCCTGGCCACCACCGGGCCCCACCCCACCAGGGACACCCCCCCCCCCGCCCCGGG